ATAACTGAAATAAAAATTAGTATTACATACAAAAAAGAAAAAGGAAAGACATCCCATGTTCTTGGTTTGGAAGAATCAATATAATTACAATTTCAGTTCTACTCAAATTAATTTACATTTTCAATGCAATTCTAATTTAATTACTGGTGATATTTTTCACAGAAACAGAAAAAAATTATAAAACTCGTCTGGAATCATAAAAGACCCCAAATCACCAAGATAATACTATGAAAAAAGAATTAAAATGAAGGCATCTCATTACCTAACTTCAAAATATATTACGAAGTTGTGATAATCAAAATAGCATGGTACTGACACAGAAATAGACATGTAGATCCATGGCACAGAACAAAGAATCCAGAAATAAACCCCAAATCATTCAGCCAACTGATCTTTGACAAAGGGTACAAGACAATGCAGTGGAGAAAAGGAAGTGTTTTCAGCAAATGATGCTGGAAGAACTGGATATCCACCTGCAGAAAAACAAAATTGGACCCACATCTTTCTAAATTAACAAGAGTCAACTAGGGACCAGCAGATAGCATAATGGTTAGTCGCTGGACTCCCATGTAGTCAACCACGGTTCAGACCTGGTGGCTTAAAATTCATGCTGGGTGCGTGTGCATGTGTACCCACAATCCTGAGATAAGAATGGAGGAGAAGGAATTGCAGCATGGCCACCCTCCCTGAAAGGGGGTGATTTCTCACTTTCTCCTTTTCACTCTCTATCTCTTTGGCAAGTGCATGTGCTCTATAGCAAAAATCTCTCTAAAACACAAAAATCAAAAACCAAAAAAAAAAAAGAATCAACTCAAAATGAATGAAAGATTTAATCAAACTATAAAACAACTAGGAGAAAAACTTGAAGATATTGGAGTAGGCAAAGATTTCTCACCTAAGATCGCTATAGCACAAGCAATAATCCCCAAAATGAACAAGTAGGGCTATGTCAAGGTAAAAAGCTTCCTCACAGCAAAGGAAACTAAGCAGTGTGAAAAGGCAATCTGCAGAATGGAAGAAAATATTTTCAAATTATCCCTAATGTAAGGAGTTAATAACCAGAATTTATAGGGAACTCAAGCATTCACCCATTAAAAATAATAATAGTAATAATAATAATAATAATAATTCAGTTAAAAACTGGGTAAATGAATTAAATAGACAATGGTCTAAAACTAGTAAATGCCAAAATACATATGAAAAAATTTTCAGTCTCTTGTCATTAAGGGAAATTCAAATTAAAACCACAACGATATGCCATTTATCCCCAGTTAGAATGCCTAGGATTAAAAAACTGTAGAATGACAAGTGCTGGTGAGGCTATGGTGAAAAGGGAATTCTCTTACATTGTTGATGGTAATGTAAATTAGTACAAACTCTGAAAAACAACATGGAGATTCCTCAGAAACCTACAAATAAAACTACCATGTGACCTAGTAATTGGACTCCTTGTTATTTACCCAAAGGATAGAAAAACGATCAGAAAGACACTCACACATCCATATTTATTGCAGCATTATTCATAATCACTAAAACATGGAATCAACCTAAGTGCCCCAAAACTGATGACTGGATAGAAAAGCTGTGGTACATATGTACAACGGGATATTACTCAGATATAGGGGACAATGAGATCCTGTTGTTTGATTCAAAGTGGATGAATATAGAAGACTTAATGTTGAGTTAACTGAGTCAGACTGAAACATACACATTGGGGCCAGCCAGTGGCCTGGTGGTTATGGTGCTAGACTCCTATATGGCTGACCATTATTCCAGTCCCAGATCCAGTGGCTTGAAAATTATGCAGGGCACATGTGTGTGCATGCCCAAAATCCTGCAAGGAGATTGGAGGAGAAGGGGTCTGAGGATGAAAGGGTCTGGGGAGCGATTTCTCACTTTTCCTCTCTCTCTCTCTCTCTCTCTGGTGAGTTCATGCACCTTATGGAAAAAAATACGCTAAAAAACAAAGAAAGATAAACAGTGTATATCCCCACTAAATATGTACTGAATATCTGTATTCTATGGCAGAAGTGGAAAGATCTGAAGATATGATAATAGAAAGGATAAGTATAGATACAAGATACTGTAAGGGAGGGGAGTAGATGGTAGAGAGTGGATATGAGAGGGTTGGTGTGAAGTACAAATAGAAGAAAAATGTGAAAAAATGTGAAATTCTCTGTTAGAAAAAAATATATATATAGTATACATAATGACCAGGACTTTATATAAAATGTGAAATTAATCTAAATTTTTTTAAAAAATAAGGAAAGGGGAAAATGTATGCTGAGATCTACAGCATAATACGATACAAGGGCACTTCAAAGGGTGTGTGAAAAAATGGAATTGAAATAAGAATTTATTTTGGTGCAAAAATTTTTGAAATCCATGTATACTTTTTTATGAAACACATTTTTTATACACTTGTTAAATATCCTCTCATATTTTGAAAGATAACACAATCACATAACTTGTATTACAGTATATGGTTATAACTATTGTATTTTATTATTAATTATTGTTAACCTATTACTGTGTCTAATATATAAATTAATGTTTATCATAGGTAAGTATATATAGAGAAAAACAGTATATTACTATAGGGTTTGCGGTTTCAGGCTTCCACTAGGGATCTTGGAACATATTTGCTGCAGATAATAGAGGATTACTGTATCCTATTGAGCACACGTATTTGATGAGGCTAGAATTGTGGGTTCAGTTCTTGTTCATAAGTAGCACCATCATTGCCAGCATTGCTAACAACCAGCTATGTAAAAGATTATTGTTCACTAAGGCAGATTAGGTGAGTGTGTGAAGAACTCAAACTCTTTCCTTATTGATGGTGGGTCAGCAGTTCCATTATTGTTTCTAATCAGTACAAGATTCTTCATAGGAGTCTATTCTGAAGTTTTGTATGGACAATTCTCCTTTTAAAATACAGTCCCCCTGACACTAACAGTCTTCTGAAGTGAATAACAAAGAGTATTGCTTTATAAATACTAATCACTGACAGAAGGAACATAAGATGGATTGTATTATTTAATTAGAAGAGGCAATGTATCTTCCTCTCTGCCTCATTAAATGACTTTACTGGTTCTCTCAGGTAATAATTATTACCTTAAGTATGACACCTTAAGCAGAAAACATAATGAGATGTGTCTGGTTTGAAATACATCATTTGCTTTAGTATGTGTATATGCTTTTCTTTTTTTTTTTTTTTGGAGAGATTTTCACTGTAGGGCGCGTGCGCTCGCCAGACAGACAGAGAGAGACATAGAGACAGAAAGCGAGAAATCACCCCTCAGGAGGGATGGTCACGCCGCAATCCCTTCTCCTCCATTCTCCTCTTGGGATCTTGGGTACGCACGCACACGCGCCCGGCGTGAGTTTTAAGCCACCGGGTCCGGGACACGAACTGCGGTCGACAACGTGGGAGTCCAGCGACATAGCCATTATGCTAACTGCTGGTTCCCTTCTTTTTTTTTTTTTTAATTTGCAGAGTGAGACAGAAAGAGAGAGACAGAGAAACATAGAAAGAGAGAAAGCATCCCCTATGGGACACGATCACACCACATCTCAACTCCTCCATTTCTCCTTTTCATATTGTGGACACACATGTACCCAGGTCTGGTGTGTTTCTCAGGCTGCGGGTCAGGGACTCAAACCCCACAGTTTGCCATGTAGGATCCAGCCATCTTAACTACTACTATGCTACAGGCTGGCCCAGTATGCTATTCTTACTAATTGTTTTTCTGTTCTCATTTTTCAGACCAAATATAGCCAGTTTATTAAATATTATGTTATTTATTTAGACCATTATCTATCCTGCATAATTTTGATCTCTAGTTTACTAGTATTAACAAACTTACTGAGATAAGCTTTATAAACCAAGAAGCCTCAACTGACTCAATATGACGCCAGCTATCTGAATTGAAAGTGAAAAGAGTTAGTCAGGCAGATGTTTATCCTGTATACTGGGACACATCTGGTTATATCTGTAAACATTCATTTGCAAAACATAAAAGATTGACAACAGTTTTTTATTTGTCATGTATCTGTCTGTTGGAGTGATAGGTCAATTCATAAAGAAAAAAAGTACTGTTTTAGGGCTAGTATAGTTTCCTGATACTGTACAGTAATTTTATCTTTCATGAAAATGGTAGGTTTTTAAAAGACGTAACATATTGAAATTTTTCTTTCTAAAGAATATAGTGTGACTGCCCTGTTACATGTTGGAATGAGCTATTTTCTGAACAGTTAAAAACTATTGTGAGTAGAAAGCTAGTTATATAAACTAAATGAGGCAGGACAATATCCAAGGCCCTGTCTACACATGATGGCAGAAAGTATGTAAATTTGTCCTATGGATGGAAGTTGGTTCATTGTATGTGCCCCTTCTTGAGTGTTTTGCTATATTAGATTGGTGCATAATTAGTGAAATTTAACTTCATGTATTTAGAGGTGAAAAAGTATTCGGAACACTGAGTATGACAGTATAAATTATAAAGTGAAAAAAATACTTTCCTAAAAATGAGACAGCTAGGGTTACCTTAAAAGGGAGAAAAATTTGAATTTAAATTTTAAATGAGAAGTTTGGTCTTGATAAAAACAAGCAATGTGATAACATTGAAAAACATTAAATTAGGAGTTGGAAGGCCTGTATTCTGATTTTGGATGATCTTTTGACTTAATGTAGAATTTTTAGAAAAGTGATTTTCCCTCTCTAGGTTGCAGATTCCTCAACAACAAAATAAAGGCTTTTCATTATCTGATTTTCAGAATCTGTTCTAATGCTAAATAAAATAACCATCAGAAATTATGGTTAGGCAGTTCTAATATTGCAGTGTAAGTAATTTTGAAAATAGAATCTATTTATAAAAAACTTATTTTGTAAGTTGTATTTTAGGAATAAATATATATAAATGAATGCACTTTTCCATAAGTCAATAGCTCAAAAGAGTTTACAATTGAGAATTCTATTGCAATATTGTACTGTCTTTAAGGTCCAGGAGATACCTACTTCTCTGCCTTATGACCAGGATCGAGTACACCATGTCAAGTTCTCTTTAAGGTATGTGTCTCTGACTACTATATTCAAATTATTCATGATTAGTTATCAGATAGAAAACTAAGGCTTTTTTCTTTGACAATTTCTGTGTGAATTCAAAACTAAAATATTAATAATAACATCTTCCTCTTTGTCATCATTGTCCCCCATTCAAAGCCTTAGCTACAATAATCCATTAACTAGAACTTTCACGTTAAATATATTACTGTCTCTGTGTTATATAATTTGATAATTAGTTGGCAAGATCCACAATTTTTAAAAAGATACAAAAATAATGAATAATGAATCCTTTGACAGTGCTTACTTACTAATGGATAACTAAAGGACATAAAATTTCAAGTGACTTTTCTTTCATATACTGTGTGATAAAACACATACAAATTATCCTTAATCTCAGAAGCTAATGCCACAGATTGGGCTAGTCTAAAAATCAAATGCAAGACTTAGTATAATAACAATAAAACATTATATATGATATTGACACTAGTCACTGTATTTTTTGATCTTTGTAATATTGACGTTTTTTTTTTTGATCTTTGTAATATTTACGCTCTTCAGTAATTATTAAGGATCAAATTCCAAATTTTAGATGTTGTATTCAATGTCTTACATTTGAAAGCCAAATTTTAAAGTAGATTTTCTTTGAAAGTGATGCCCCTCCAAGCCCAACTTACAGTGAAGAGAACTTCACTTGTATTCATTAATTCAGTCATTTAGTAAATATCTACTGAGCTCTTAGTATATGCATAATACTAGACAGTATGATCAGATGGCATAGATTTGATTTTTTGTAGTATTGGAAACTTTTTCTGTGGGCTCAATTAATGGGTTGCCATGTTCCTTTCTGGCTTCAAAGGGAAAGTACTAGTTTAATTTTGAGTAGTCAATTTTGGTATCATGAAACATTATTTTTATTACCATGTAATATGTATTAAACTGAACTTAGTGTTAAGCTGGGAGTGAATGCTCACTTTACAATGAAAATTATGAATTTATTAATGGCAAGTACATTTCCTTTAAATATGTTTGAATTTATAAAACTATGTAGATTAAATTCTTGCCTTTCCTGAAATTTGGGAGCATAGAGAAGACTTGTCTGTGGCCAGTCCCGTATGTGACCTAGTGGTTAAGGGAACTGGATTCTAATGATTGGCCATCCTGATCCTGTTGTTTTGAAAACAAATATACCAGGTACATGTGCATGTTTCCCCAAATCTCAACAGGATGGAGAAATGGAGGATAAGGGATTGTGGTGTGACCATTCCCATAGGGGGTGCTTTTTCGCTCTCCCTCTCTTACTCTCGGCTGAGTGCATGCTCCCTTTGGCAAAATAATAAGAAAAAAAATATTTATCATTTAAGAATAAATATTCTTTAAAAAAAGAAAAAAAGAAAATACTTTTGTCTGGTATAGACCAAAATCAATAACCTAAGTCCTTCCCATATAGAAATCTAAAAGCAGCTATAAAATTTAGTAGTACTGGTCCAAAGCAACTCTCTAAATATTCTTTCAATTTGATTGGTAAGAGCTAAGGTGCCCTTGGACCAGCAGTTAGCATAATGGCTATATCGTTGAACTCCCATGTAGTCGACCGCGGTTCGAGTCCCGGACCTGGTAGCTTAAACTCAGGCCCAGTGCGTATGCATGCATACCCAAAATCCCAAGAGAGAAAGGAATAGAAGGGATTGTGGCAGAGCCATCTCCCCTGGGGGATGATTTCTCGCTTTCTGTCTCTCTGTCTCTGTCTTTCTGGCGAGAGCACGTGCCCTATAGCAAAAACCTCTCAAAAAAAAAAAAAAAAAAAAGCAAATGTGCCCTCTTTATTCATCTTTCTAAATCAGGGATAGAGCATTAACACATAAATGAGCTTCAATCATTTAAAATCAAGATAATAACAGAATATTTGACAAAAACAGTCATTCATTTTGTTTATTATGTTAAAATACTCACATATACTATGATTCATTTATTGCTGTGTTTCCCAGGTATCAGTATTGTCTATTTGCTTAAAGAAAGTTTATAACAGTTTTTAGAAGCAAATATGATATGTGAAGGAAACATACTATATGGAAATACATTATTTTATTTCTGTATTTTTGATATTGTTCTTCTGTTCTAGATAAAATAGCAGGTTTGGAAGAGAATTAGAACTTACTTAAGCTCTGTTTCTTTTTGATATTTACTGATACATTTATGTAACATTTTTTGTTGGTTTTTGATGTTGTGCATTCCCCTCATGAATATTAGAATATGGTACATGCTTTTCTATCTTTTCACTAGTGTTTCTCGGCAGTCTCTTTTGGAACAAGCTCAGAAGCCCATTGACATCAGACAAAGGAGTTCCCAAAATCCTCAGAATTACCCAGCAGCATCAGGTGATTCAAAGCACAGAGTTTCAACAGTCAAAACGCAGAGCTAGGCCAGCTGCAGCGGCATAGAGGTAGTGTGCTGCTCAACGATGCTGGATCCCCATGGAAGACTAGGAGTTTGGTTGCCAGGTCAACCTGTACATACCAGGCATGCACGTGTGTGCCCATGACTCTGGCTGGCTGGGAAGGCTGGGGGGAAGGACTGGGGCATGAGACCCTAATAAAGGTGTTTCTCTCTCTCTCTTTCTCTCTCCTTTCCTCCCTCACTCAAAAACGAAAACTCACAATGCCAATGCTAATGTTTAACAGTTTATATTTCAGAAGTCAAGAAAGAAGAATTTCAAGAAGAAATACATCGAAAGTGTAAGGGAGGCAAAGTAGATTAGTACCAAAAGGACACTGGATTTAGCAACTGGGTAGTGAGTGGTGACTTTAGAGAAATGAAAAGTTAAATTTCTTCTTTTAGTTGGGTAGTAGTTAGGACTCTGTCTAGGAGGCAGGGAGAGGCAAGTGTATTTAGCTTCTATATCAAGTGAGAAAAATATGGGAAAGGAACTTGGAAGAGTCCTCTCCAAAAAGGCTAAAATGTAAGCAGTCTTAAGATTATTCTATAGCGGGGCCAGCAGGTGGCGTGGTGGTTAAGGTGTTGGACTCCCACACGGTGAGCCACGGTTTGAGTCCTGGGTTTGGTGCCTTCCTTTCTCACTTTCCATCTCTCTTTCTCTGTCTCTCTCTGGTCAAATTAAAAAATAATAAATAAAAATTAAATAAAATATTTTTAAAAGATTATTCAATGGCCTAGTTATTAGCAAATATTTTATTTATTAGTTTATTATTCACCTTCCAAAAATATGTATAGTGTCTCATAAGTATTCCTAAATGCTATAAACTGATGGTTTTACTCATAACACCTGAAAAATTAAGTAATTAATCAAATAATGGAAAATGTCTTCACAAATTGTGAAATGAATTTCAAAAAAGTGTTTTAAGATATAATTTTGAGAGTTAAGAGAATTATATATATTTTTGAAATAGTAGGATAAACGAAAGCAAAACCTGTGCCTTGTATCATAAAGTCTGGCATGAACTAGTTTTAAGCAATCCAGGTCAGTAAGCAAGGCAAAAAGGCCTAAAAGAATCCCTGAGTCATCTGTAAAAAATAGCATATAGATTTTATTAAGTGTTAATAATAATGAGGATATAGGTGTACTTCACTTTAGGAAAATAGAATATTTGAAGATGTGAACTTAAAAACCCCACCTTCCTCTTTTGTTATGAATTGTTTATTTAGTTTTCCTTAGTATTCTTTTCTTTCAAATTTGCTATAGGCCATGTGTGCTCACCAGAGAGAGAGAGAGAGAAAGAAAGGAAGCCACCAGGTCTGGGACTTGAACTACAGCCGTGTGGGAGTCCAGTGCCTTAACCATCATGCCACCTGTCCCCCCATCTTCTGCTTAAGAAAATAGGAAAAAGACTAATTATTTTTTAATTTTTTTTTTTTTTTGAGATGGAGCACAGGCAGAGAGAGACAATGCGAAATTACCCTCTGGGTGTGGGGGGGGATGACCACACTGCAACCTCGTCTTCTCCATTCTCCCCTTGGGATTTTGGTCACATATGACATGTGCTCAGTGTGATTTGGTGTGGTCAGCCATAAGAGGGTCTAGCACCTTAACTGCCATGCCACCTGCTGGTCCTGATGGCAGAACTGTTTTAAGCAGTGGTGTCCTCTTGTGCAGAAATACTATGTTTTAAGCCTATGTGAAGCATAATTTTAGGAGGTTTTTTTTTTTTTTTTTTTTTTTTTTTCCCAGAATCTTTTCTTTCTGGTTCTATTAGGGGTACTTTCACTAATACTGAGCAAACTACTAAAAATTAAAGGTTTATTTATGTTGCCTTTTGAGATAAGGTAATTTTGGATTTGGCCCCAAGGTAGTTATAAACGTCGATGGGGAGGAGAAAAAGATAGTATCTGTACAGATAATACCTAAACCTATGTTTAGCTTTAAAATTTTGTTACTTTGTTGTCTGTGCTATCTAGATCACTTAAGATTCCCAGAGCATTGCTTTGCTTTGTTGCTGAGGAAATCAGAGCACTTTACTACAGATTTGCCTCAGAATCTCAAAATACCCCTTCTTATGTGCTCTATTAACACACCAAAAAAAGAACAAAACAAAACAAATAAAACAAAGAAAAAAATCAAGATAAAATGGTTTCCTGCAGAAAAAAATAATAAATAGCAAAAATGCAACAGTGCCAGAAGATGAGCACAAGTGTGAAGTGTTCAGTGTAATGTTCTCAAAAGACAGCAGTATCACAAATACAGGTTTCTTGAAGTTATAGTGTCTATACTTTAGCTTTATACTTTGGCTATATATATCAAGGCTGAAAATAAAAGAGGGGTAATAGTACTTATCTTTAAAATGCAAACACACAAAATCAATAAACAGGGACAGGAGTGATCCGTTAGTGAAGGTATTTCTAAGTATGCACACTGAGACCTACTAATTTTTGGAGCAGGATAAATATTCTCACTGGAATTTTAAGCAAGGTATTAACATAATGCAACTCATTATCAAAAGCTTGACTTCCAAACTGAATGCATTTGTACATTTGTACAATATTTACAGTACATATTGAGCTGTCCAATGTGATAGCAACTAACCACAGGTAGCTATTAAAAATTAAATAAAGTTAAAAATTCAATTTCTCAGGCATGCTGGCCACATTTCAAATGCTCAATAGTAATTTGTAACTTCAGCTACTGTGTTGGACAGTGCAGATAAAATTCTTTTTTAAAAAAAATATTATTTATTTAGTTTTATTTATTTATTCATTTTAATTTGACCAGAGAGAGAGAAAGAGAAAGTGAAAAACCAAGCCACCAGGTCCAGGACTTGAACAATGGTCAGCCATGTGGGAGTGTCCAGCACCTTAACCACCACGCCATTTGTATCACTGTAGAAAGTTCTATTACATAGTACTACTATAGAACGTTTTTTCACTTTTCTGTAGCTCACTCTTCAACTGTGTGAAAATACTTCAGCATATATCACTGAGAGGAAAATGAGAGTTTAAGATTTCAGAGTCAACTCCCCTCTTGAGAATTTTGACTAATACATCATCTTATGATATACATATGATTAATATATACTGTTGGGCTCTTTTCCTACTGGTTAATATATGAAGCCATTGGTACACCAAATTCTTTCTATTCATGATACATTTTTAAAATGTATATACCTGCCTTCCACTCTTTATACTTTCTTATGCAGATACACAGAAATATTTAGAATATCTAGCAAGTGTGCACTTAATATCAAACCAAAAAAAACATGTAGGTCTATAGATGGAATAAAACTTGAGCCTGCTACTACCTCTGAAAACAGAATTTAGGATCCTGGCCTCATGAGAATTTTTAAACTGATTTTTTTTTTTTTGAGAGGTTTTTGCTACACGGTGTGTGTGCTCGTCAGAAAGACAGAGAGAGACAGAGAAACAGAAAGTAAGAAATAACCCCCCAGGGGGAATGGCCACACTGCAATCCCTTCTCCTCCATTCTCCTCTCGGGATCTTGGGCACGTATGCATACACGCCCGACATGAGTTTAAGCCGCTGGGTCCGGGACACAAACCGTGGTCGACTACATGGGAGTCCAGCGACATAGCCATTATGCTAACTGCCGGTCCCTAAACTGAATTTTTTTTAAATGGAATCATAGAAATATAGGAAAGCAACAAGGGATTGAACTGGTACAATGTACAAATGAAGGCAAAGGCTGTAATCATCAGTATTACTGTGTGTTTTGACATTCCATAAAAACTTCTGAGGATGAAATATCTGTGACCAGGAGGAGGTCCCAGTCATCACCACCTTATTCTACTATTGATCAGAAGTTGCTGGTTGATGTCCATGTAGGTTTTCAACTTGCTATATTTCTATTTATTTTTTAACTTTTAATTTGTTTTGACTTATACATTCTTATCTTCACTTAAGGAAAGAAAGGTTGAACTTTGTTTTTTTTTTTAAATTAATCTTTAAAAAATAGGTCCCCACTGCTATATTAGCATACAGACTATAAAACTTAGAAATTCAAATTGAAATGAGAAACTCTCAAATGATTAGACAGTGATTTATTTTCCCATTCTTGAGTTAGAACATATTTGAGAAAGGAGTGATAAAGAGCTATTTGTAGAGGCTAATCTCAAATTAAGGGGTAGAGATTAGATGCTCAATTTGTGTTTAATAGCATTTCTTGGGTGATGAGGCAACATATAAAAATAAAACATTTAGTGAAATTTAAAGGGTCTTCTAATTGCATCAATAATAAAGTCTTCCATTCTTTTCTGCATTGTACTTTCAGAGCATTCTACTATCTTTTAAATTTATAATGACGCCTCCCATACATACATATCTTCTAGTTTGTCCAAAAGTTGGTATTTGACACATACCATACTTAAAAGGTGGACTTATATTAATTTGCTTTTAAGAAGACCTTGAAATATTTTAAGATGGCCTACGGTGTGTAAAATCAGAGCCAGGATATTAACATATCAATTTCAGGAGTTTTGTGTTATTCTAATGTGAGGGGATAAAACAGAAGGAAACAGTGACTAAGCATCAAATTGCCTGTTCTACTCTTCAACATCAAAACCACATGTCTACTCCTCAGTAGATAAATAGGAGTAATAATAAGAACAATAGTAATGATAAAAAGTGAGTAAATTTTGTCCTATTTGATCCAGAAAGGCCACTGTTAATCATGGCCTGACATTCAGGTTTTGGCATTTCATCCTCACTAAAATATTGGTTTGATCTAGTGAATGAATATTGTTACTTCATTGGAAAATAAAAATTAAAATGTTGTCAGCTTAGAAATTTTCCAATCTAGAAAAAAAAATGAAACACTATTAGAGACTACATTAACCTTTTTTATGCACACAGGTTCCAGATGGATTTAAAGTAGGAAAAATATCACCCCCCGTATACTTGACAAATGAATGGGTAGGCTATAATGCACTCTCTGAAATCTTCCGGAATGATTGGTTAATTCCTGCACCTGTCATTCAGCCACCTGAAGAAGATGGTGATTATGTTGAACTCTATGATGCCAGTGCTGATACTGATGGTGATGATGATGATGATTCTAATGATGCTTATGAAGATACCTATGACCATGCCACTGGCAGTGATGACTTGGATAACCATGTTGATCAGGCCATTGCTGTGTGTGAAGCTTATAATGATGATGACAACAATGATGAGTCTGTTGAAGGTGTAGATGATGTGCCCAGAGGGCCAAGGTTGGTTTTTCTTAATTATTTACAATGACCATGTTTTATAACATTGGAACTATTTTCATATTTGATTTATATTAAAAATTTATTAACAAGAAGATGAATTAATTTCACTTTCATATTAGTAAATAGTTCAAGTTTTTAATTTGCTAGATGGTGTGTGTGTTTACCCGAGAGAGAGAGACAGAGAGAGAGAGAAGGAACAGGAGAAAATAACTACCCCTCCCATGAGGCATAGTTACACTGCAATTTCTTTTCTTCTATTTCTCCCTCCTTTTGGAATTTTGTACACACACACACACACACACACACACACACACACACACTTGCTCTGTGTTTTTCAAGCTGCCAGACCTGAGACTCAAACCACACAGTCACCATGTAGAATTTAGCTGCTTTAACCACCAGACTACAGGCTGGCCCAATGGTTTGATTTTTAATAATAGATTTTAAATTGTTCTAATGCAGAATAGTGACTTTTACATTATTTTTGCATTCATTTTTATTCTCATTGAAGTACTTTTTTAGGAGGAGTTTCTTCATAACTGGAATGTCTGGATGGTTCTGTTAAATATTAATGCTACTGAATCATCCTACTATGTGAAATATGAAGTGTGATAAATTGAGTGACAATGATTTGTGCTACTTAATAACTATAAAATGAAGCCCTGGTATTTGTGATATAGTTGTGAATTTCTCAAACTGTTGAAATATTGCCATGTATAGAATAAAATGATCTTTACCTGGTTAAATGGTTGTGAAAGTACAAAGAGCTCTTTTGATTTTTTTCCAATACAAAAATCTACCACAAATTTCATTGTCAAATAAATTTGCTTTTAGGATTAAAACAGGCATTGAGAGCAGCAGATGGTATAATGGTTATGTCGCTGGACTCTTACATGGTCAACTGTGGTTCTAGTCCTGGACCCAGAGGCTTGAAACTCATTCAGGGCGTGTGAGTGTGCACGCATCCAAAATCTCAAGAGGAGAATGGAGGAGGAAGGGTTGCAGTCTGGCCATCCCCCCGGGGGGTGATTTCTTGCTTTCTGTCTCTTTGTCTGTCTCTCTGGCAAGCTCATGTGCCCTATAGCAAAAATATCTGTAAAAAAATAAAAAAATAAAACAAGTATATATGTTTAATGTTGTCTCTTATACAAAAAAGAAAGCATCAAGACATTTTGTTAAGCTTGGTGTTTTTAGCAACTAACTAAATGACTTAGTCCTATAAGATATGAGTTCTCTACCCTGAATTTCCTGATGGAGTAGTAGACCAATAGGATTCTGCAGCAAAATAGTCAGAAACTGCTTTGTTAGAAACAAGACAAATGTATAAATTAATATAAACTAGATATGTTGCAAGAATAATTAAAAAAAAAAGAATAATTCAAATATATTGTGGTTGAACCAAAAATATGGTCTTAATCATTCATACAGTTGTGAAGTTGCTAACATATGAAATAGACTGTTATATAAGAAATGAATACATGTTCTTGCTACTAACCCAACGCATGTACTCAACAAAGAATGATAGTTCTTTTCCTTCTACCACCAAAATGCAACCAGAGAATGGATGGTGGCTATGGTGTTTATTTACTATTTAAGATCAACAGGGCAGTAGGGCAATTTTCTTGTCTATATTATGCTAGTAGTGTTCACACAGAACAAAAATGTGCCTCAACATGATAGATATGTATAAGATACATCCTAATTCTGTTTCATTTACTGACTTTCAAATGTGTTTGCACTGGTGGCTTTCTTTCATTAATTTGAACTTATTATCAGGGCAAGTTGTAACAGAGATGGAAGCTGTAAGGAAGATGGTAGTGATGGAAGTGATGGAAAAGAAGGAGTCTGTAGAGGCAATGGAAGCCATAGGACCAGTAGAAGAAGTGGCAGAAGTGCAGCCAGTGCAGCCAATACAGCCACTGAAGAGCAAGAAGGATATGGAGCCAATATAGGCAGTGCAATAAGAGACAACAGGTATATGGGAAGTAAAGCAGTCAGTGGAACCAATGAAGAGAGTGGAGGTCTTGAACTTAATGCAAGAGAAAATTGCTCAGAGACAGATGGTCCAGGATTGGAGAGACCTGCATCCCAGAACTTTGAATGTCACCAGGAGGTAAGGCACCATAAAGGAGAATGAACTCTTCTTATTGTGAATGTGTTTCTTCATGTGGTATATAGCATTCTAGTCATTTCCAATCTAAAGCCTAAAACATTTTTAATTATAGATGTGTAGGTAGATCTTTCCTTCTTCTAATTTTAATGATTCCTGTTTATTTCCAGGGACAAAAAAACCTCTTTTTTCTTTGCCTTTATTACTCAGATCGAGCTTGGTGTAGTGTCTGTTAACATATGGAATTTTCTTTTCCAGAAAAGGATTTTTTCATTGTGGTAAAATATACATAACACAAAGTGTACCATTTTAACCATTTTTAAATATGCTAATCAGTGGCATTCACTACTTTCACAATGTTGTGCAGTCATTACCACTATCAATTTCTGGAAGTTTTTCATCATCCCAAACAATTAAACAATTTAAAAAGTAACCACAGGTTAACCTCTGCCCCAAACCCTTGGCAACCTCTATTCTACTTTCTAAGTACCTTACATTTCTGAATAATACAACATCTGTCTTTTTGTCTCTTGCTTTTTTCACTTAGCATAGTGTTTTCAAGGGTCATCTATGCTGTAGCAAGTATGAGAATTTCATTCCGTTTTAGGGCTCGATAATATTCTATGTGTATACGAAGATTTTTTTATCCATTAGTCTATTGACAGACTCAGGTTGTTTTTACCTTTTGACTACTGTGAATAACACTCCTATGAACATTGACTATAACAATATTCTGAATCCCTGCTTTCAGTTCTTTTGGGGATATATTCAGGATTAAACTTGCTACATCTTGTAGTAAATCTATGTTTAACGATTTGAGGAGTTGTTAGCATGTACAATTTTAGGTAAAACAATGTACTGTGTTGAGATAATGATCTTGTTCACAAAATGTGTATTGACTTTGCAAATAGGTTTAAATAGTCAAGTAACTTTACAGATTCTAAATCAATAGGAATTTTCACAGAGAAGACTTCTTGGAACACATGGCATTTGAACTAATTCTTGACAAATGGGGAATATCTATATATCTGAAAACACAGGTGGGAATCCAGAGGAAAGATCATGCCAATCTACTTTTTCAGCCTATTGTTTTATCACACAAACTGACTTTGAAGATGCCATACACGTTTTTGAATTAGTGTTCCTTGTGCAAGCTGTTCCCTCTGTCTGGAAAGCTGCTCCCTCACCTCTTCTCTGCTTGATGAATCAGTCATCCTTTATGATTCAACTCAAGTATCATATTTGACTTCCAAAAACAGAATTATATACCTCTTTCTCTGCTGGCAAGAATTTTGCCCATAGTTCCATTTTATTACTTAATAACATTGTAGTTTAGTTATGTATTTGCTTTTCTGTCACACTAAATTATTAACTCAAAAGGAAGGAACTATATCTAATCCATCCTTGATTATTTTTCTGGTCCAACTTAGGGCCAGGCCTATGGTAAGCAAACAATGATTATAAAAGAAATAAACAGAGGTAGGAAAGAGGGAAAAAAAGGGAGGAAGTAGACTCTCTGAATGGTTTCCTATGGGAAAGTATCAGTGGGAAAGTATCTACGTCTGTCCATAATCTATCTATCATCTATTTTAATTTATTAAAGACTTTAAAACAGAATGTCCCAACATAGGTTTTATAGTACCTCTGGGTATCTCCAGTTATCTTAAGGAATGTTTTGGAAATTTACAAAGTGAATAGAGTGAGGAAGTAGACTCTCTGAATGGTTTCCTATGGGAAAGTATCAGTGGGAAAGTATCTACGTCTGTCCATAATCTATCTATCATCTATTTTAATTTATTAAAGACTTTAAAACAGAATGTCCCAACATAGGTTTTATAGTACCTCTGGGTATCTCCAGTTATCTTAAGGAATGTTTTGGAAATTTACAAAGTGAATAGAGCTTCCTTTCTTTTTAATTTTTAAATGACATGCTGCCACAGCACATGTTTGTGATTGGAAAGGTCATAAAAAACAGCCTTTGAAAGGGCAGTACAAGCAGTACAACTCTCTCAGAGATAGGTATCACTGTTTACACAAAAAGAACTTATCAACAAACGGGCTTACTATCCATATGTCAAAAATAGTATGTTTTCCCACAGGATATAGCATACCACATAAATTGTCACAATTCATGGCTTTATCCTTGGATATTTTCAGTGTAAATTAATGAAGCAAGGTGAATTTTCAATGAAGCATGTTCACACTCTTGAATTTATGTTGGTTGATTTTCCATCCTTTGCTTTGTCATTCGAAAAGTCTCCCTGAAGATATTGAACTCTCCGAATTCTGAGAAGGTACTTTAAAGCAGTGGAACAAATACCTCCACACTGTGCTTTTTATTTTTTTACGTGGCTGTTTGGCATAGCATAGTTGAATGTAGATTTAGGAACCAAGCAGACTTTGACTTTGAACTCTGGTTCTCCTACTCACCAGCTCTGTGAACGTAAATAAATTATTTGACTTCTCCAAACTTTATCCTCATAAGTAAATGGCAGATAATTATACTTACTTGTCGGTTGTGGTAAAATTTCATGAAGATATGTAAATAGGATGTCCTGTGCAGTGCCTGGTGTGTAGTAAAAATTTTACAAATATTGGGCCCCAGACTCTACAGTTGGGACTTAAAACTTGCATTTCTCTTCTGGCATCAGTTGTCTCAATAATAGGCTAGTTGTCACTCTTCTGTTGAATTTGTTCAGCTTCTCTAGTAAATGTGGACTTTATAAGAATATTGATCTTACAAATTTTGCATTCTCTTTTTCAAATGACCCCTAAGCAAATTGCTCCCATTCTTAACCTCCTATTAAAATTTAAAAATTGGTTTTTGGTTTTCTTTCAGGGGCCAGGTGGTGGAAGTGAGACCCTAGGCACCATTGCCTCAGGTGTTGCACCCCTTGCACCTGATGAGAATGACAATAAGGACTTATCGGAATCATTAACACAATCAGGTTTTCCTGCCAACTACTCATTTCCTTCCAAAGGTTCTGGGAGGTCTGCTGATGCTGAATTTGCCAGTGCCATCTGTGAGTGTGTTTAGTATTATCTCTAAACGCTGTGATCGATCTCTTCACATACTAAATAGCGTTTAACTGCTGGTTCATGATATAGAAGGAATCAAATCACTCTGATACTCAGTTGATGTAAATTTAGATCAAAATATGCTTTTTAAAAATGTACTCCTCACTGAGTCTTTGTTGTAATAAATTTGAGCAGCGGTTGAGAAAGTGAGTCCTTCATCTGGATTTTTAAAAAAATTTTTTTTTTTTGCATTCTAACCACAGCAACAAAATATATTCATATTCAGCAATGTATTTTAACCATTATGATTTGTGCTATTTGGTGTTTTAGGAGTTATTGAAGTTATACTTCCAGTAAAAAATGAAGTACACTAAAGGAAAATGAACTTTTCTAGGCTGTATCTCTTTTATGGAAACATTTAAGCACATATGGTATATAGACTAGTAATTGATCTCCATATCTTCCCCCCTACTTCTTCATAGTATATACTGGTTTCGTAGAAGTACCTGAGAAATCACTTAAGCGACCTTCTGAGGTCAATGTTAACCCACTCTATGTCTCTCCTGCATGTAAAAAACCACTAATCCACATGTATGAAAAGGAATTCACTTCTGAGATCTGCTGTGGTTCTTTGTGGGGTGAGTTTGGTTTTTTAAAACTGAGCCCTTGAGGTTTTTTTTGTTTGTTTGTTTCAACAAAATATATTCATATTCAGCAATGTATTTTAATCATTATGATTTGTGCTATTTGGTGTTTTAGGAGTTATTGAAGTTATACTTCCAGTAAAAAATGAAGTACACTAAAGGAAAATGAACTTTTCTAGGCTGTATCTCTTTTATGGAAACATTTAAGCACATATGGTATATAGACTAGTAATTGATCTCCATATCTTCCCCCCTACTTCTTCATAGTATATACTGGATTCGTAGAAGTACCTGAGAAATCACTTAAGCGACCTTCTGAGGTCAATGTTAACCCACTCTATGTCTCTCCTGCATGTAAAAAACCACTAATCCACATGTATGAAAAGGAATTCACTTCTGAGATCTGCTGTGGTTCTTTGTGGGGTGAGTTTGGTTTTTTAAAACTGAGCCCTTGAGGTTTTTTTTGTTTGTTTGTTTTGTTTTGTTTTACCCATATAGCAAATCTGCAAAAAATATAGAGAGTAATTGCTTGTTATTACCAAATCATGACTAATCGAATAAAAATAAATGTATAGTAATTAATTTGCTCAGAATTGGTTTTGCTGATGTTTTTCACTCAATACAGTGAAAAACCTGAGTTAACTTAGCTAAATGTAAAATTGGATTAGACTATGATTACTTCAAAAATTGAGCTTAGTAGTCTAGTTTAGGGTAGTATTCAGCATATGATGATATCTAAAGAGGTATTATAAGAAAGATGTCTATAGGATCTGATTTTTAAATTAGTTTTGAGGATTTATTGAGAAAATTCCTTCTATAATGTCTTAACTCTGACAGACTTTTTCAATCCTTTGTTTCAGAACAATTAACAACCACATTGGTAATGCTGAGACATTTTACCTTAAGTCACTGTGAATCATAAGTGAAACAGAATAAATGAATTTAAGGAGAGAAATCCAAAGTAAATGCCAACCTCTGACTTAAAATTTCATAGATTTTGTTTAGTGTATGACTGAATGGGGAACAAGGGGTTTAAATTAAAAAATAGAACTGGGTAGCAAACATAATTATATGGATCGAAGAAATTACCAAAAATTACATATTGAA